TGACCTCCAGGATGCGGGTGTCCACCAGTTCACCCCTGCTCGTCAGCGGGTGACCCACTGCACGGAGGAGGATACAGGTCGCCACCTGGCTACGTTTACACGTCGGCCAGGGTCGAGCCTGTACACACTGACCACTGCTTCTCCTCCAGGTGCTGAGTCTGGTAGGGTCCCTTCGTCTGGTCAGGTGTTTGCTGCAGCGTCCAGGTCTGGTCCTGAGTCTGCCCCCTGCTCGTGTCGTCGTCTGTCTCACGAGACCCTCCTCTGGCACCACCGCCTTGGCCACCCCTCTCTGCTTCGGCTCAGAGGCATGGCCTCGCGAGTCCTTGTGTCTGGTCTTCCCCGGTCTCTCCCTCCCCTTCCTCCGGGCCCTGGCCCCACCTGTGTCCCTTGTGTCGAGGGGCGCCAGCGTGCTGCCCCTCACTCCTCCCAGTTTCCTCCCACAGAGGCCCCATTGCAGACGCTTCACATGGACGTGTGGGGCCCAGCCCGCGTCCGTGGACAGGGTCAGGAGCGCTACTTCCTGGTGGTGGTTGACGACTACTCGCGTTACACCACAGTCTTCCCCTTGCGCAGCAAGGGTGAGGTCACTGAGGTGCTGATCGACTGGATCCGCGCAGCTCGTCTCCAGCTTCGGAGGAGCTTTGGCTCTGACTTCCCTGTTTTGCGTCTGCACTCGGACAGAGGTGGAGAGTTCTCCTCCGGCCTCCTGAGTGCCTACTGTCGTGTGCGAGGCATCCGTCAGACCTTCACGCTTCCGGACTCACCGCAGCAAAATGGGATTGCTGAGCGTCGCATTGGCATGGTCATGGACGTCGCTCGTACGTCCATGATGCATGCGGCTGCTCCCCATTTTCTGTGGCCGTTTGCGGTCAGGTACGCTGCGCACCAGATCAACCTTCACCCCAGGGTCTCTCGACCGGAGACCTCCCCAGCCCTGCTGTGGACGGGGAAGGTTGGCGATGCGTCGGCGTTCCGGGTCTGGGGATCTCGGACGTTTGTTCGCGACCTGTCTGCGGACAAGCTGTCCCCTCGTGCTTCTCCCTGCGTCTTCCTGGGGTTCCCCCCTGACGCCCCTGGGTGGCAGTTTTACCACCCCACCTCTCGACGTGTTCTGTCCTCCCAGGACGTCACGTTCCACGAGTCGGTACCCTACTACCGCCTCTTCCCCTACCGCACTCCGTCTCTCCCCCCACCCCCGCTCTTCTTGGTACCAGGTCCCCCCCCGGTAGTCCCCCTCCCCCCTCAGGGTCCTGCCCCTTCAGGTGTGTCCCAGGTAGACGCGGTCGAGCCTGTCGAGGTCACTGGTGACTCTGGTGCTGCTGCGGGAGCTGAGCCTGGGGGTGCGGAGTCTGGGGGTGCTGAGCCTGGAGGTGCCGAGTCTGGGGGTGCTGAGCCTGGGGGTGCTGAGCCTGGAGGTGCTGTGCCTGGGGGTGCTGAGCCTGGAGGTGCCGAGTCTGGGGGTGCTGTGCCTGGGGGTGCTGGGCCTGGGGGTGCTGAGCCTGGGAGTGCCGTGCCTGGAGGTGCTGTGCCTGGGGGTGCTTCGTCTCGCCGGGAGCCACTCTCCCCACAGGAGCTGCGTGAGTGGTTTGCCGGGCGCTGGAGGCGTGCTGCTGGTGCTGGTGGTTCTTCGGCTGCAGAGGGCACTGCTGCTGCGCGCCCCGCCGGCGCTCGTACTGTGGGTGCTGGAGCTGCTGAGTCTGAGAGTTCTCCTGGAGCTGGTCCTGCTGAGGGTGTTGGCGCTGAGCTTGCCGTTGGCGGCCCGACTGACAGTGCTCCTGGTGCTGCGGCTGGAGGTTCTGGTGCTGCTGGAGGTGCTGCTAGAGTGGGTGCTCCTGCCGGGGCTGCTGGTGCTGTTCCTGCTGTTTCTAGCGTCGCCGCGCGGCCCCGACCGTACTTCGTTCCGCTCCTGGAGCAGGTTCTTGGTCTTACACCTCCTCCTCCTCCCTTAGAGGGTCCGCAGCCTGTCCGGTCACAGCCACAGCTACAGCCTGCCTCCCCTTCGCCTGCTCCTTCTCCCTACGCTGGTCCGACTGGAGGTCTTACTGAGCGTCGTGAGCCTGCGTCTCGTCCTGTGTCGCCTATTCGTACTGAGCGCGCTAGTGGTCGCGGGTCGCGTCAGCGTCCTCCTCCTGTCCGTGGCACGCACCGGATGTCACTGCGTCCGTCCACTGCTCCTCTGCGTGCCCCTTTGCCTTCTCCTCCTGCTTCCTCTCTTCCTGCTCTTGCCGACCCGGAGTCGGACGCTCTTCGTGCTGCAAGTCCTACTGTCACGCGTCTCCTGGCTACTGCTGTCACTGACCCCTCCTTCGAGTCGTCTGCTGCGTCTGCCCTTGTCACTGAGCTTGTCGACTTTGCTGCGCGCTGTCGTCTAGACTACGCTGCTCGTCTTATCACTGAGTCTGAGTCCGCCTGTCCTCCGTCCGTCGGGGGTGAGTGTGCCCTTGGCACGGACGTCCTTGAGGACAGGCAGGAGGAGTTCCAGTGTCTGGCCGCCGCTTCACCTCGTCTCGCGTCTGTAGTGCTAGCCCCTGAGGGAGACCCGGATGCACCAGACATCCCGACTCCGCGCTCTTACGCGGAGGCGATAGAGGGTCCCTACTCCTCTCAGTGGCAGGCAGCTATGGATGCAGAGATGGCTTCCTGGAAGTCCACAGGCACCTACGTTGACGCTGTTCCCCCTCCTGGGGCAAACATCGTCAGTGGCATGTGGATTTTCAGGGTGAAGCGGCCGCCGGGTTCTCCGCCTGTCTTCAAGGCGCGTTACGTGGCTCGTGGCTTCAGTCAGCGGCAGGGGGTTGACTACTTTCAGACCTTCTCCCCCACCCCGAAGATGACCACTCTTCGGGTTCTGCTACACGTTGCTGCTCACCGTGACTACGAGCTGCACTCTCTCGACTTCAGCACAGCTTTCTTGCAGGGCAGCCTGCACGAGGAGATCTGGCTGCGTCGCCCACCTGGCTTCACTGGGTCTTTCCCTCCTGGTACCCAGTGGAGTCTCCGGCGTCCAGTCTACGGTCTCCGCCAGGCGCCACGTGAGTGGCACGACACACTGAGGACTACGCTCGCGGCACTTGGGTTTGCTCCTTCCACTGCCGACCCGTCGCTGTTTCTGCGCACCGACACCTCTCTGCCGCCGTTCTACATCCTCGTGTACGTCGACGACTTGGTCTTTGCCACAGCTGACACTGCTGGACTCGCCTACGTGAAGTCCGAGCTGCAGAAGAGACACACGTGCACTGACCTGGGTGAACTGCGCAGCTACCTTGGCTTGCAGATCACCCGGGACAGAGCACGCCGCACCATTACCCTGACTCAGTCACACATGGTGCAGCAGGTCCTTCAGCGCTTCGGCTTCACGTACTCCTCGCCTCAGGCCACTCCTCTGCCTACTCGCCACTCGCTCTCAGCTCTGCCTTCGGATGAGTCCGTAGAGTCGAGTGGCCCGTTTGCAGAGCTTGTTGGCTGCCTCATGTACCTGATGACCTGCACACGACCTGACCTCGCATACCCTCTTAGCATTCTCGCACGCTTTGTTGCTCCTGGGAGACACCGACCAGAGCACATGGCTGCAGCGAAGAGGGTGTTGCGCTACTTGTGCAGTACGTCGGGCATGGGGCTAGTGCTTGGAGGGCGCAGTCCAGTGGTCCTCACTGGGCACGCAGACGCTTCTTGGGCTGACGACCAGGCTACGCAGCGGTCGTCACAGGGTTACACCTTCAGCCTTGGTTCCGGCTCTGTCTCGTGGCGGGCTACCCGCTCGTCTTCTGTTCTCGGCTCCAGTTGTGAGGCTGAGATCTACGCTGGGGCCATGGCTTCACAGGAGTTACGCTGGCTCACCTACCTGCTGACCGACCTTGGAGAGCAGCCTCGTTCTCCTCCAGTCCTGTACGTAGACAACAAGGCCATGCTGGCCTTGTGTCGAGAGCAGCGACTGGAGCACAGAACGAAGCACATTGCTCTTCGCTACTTTCTTGCTCGTGAGCTACAGCAGCGTGGACAGCTGCGACTTGCGTACGTGGCCTCTGAGGCCAACACTGCGGATGTCTTCACCAAGGCACTTGCGCCTTGTGATCATCAGCGTTGCTGCACGCAGTTGGGTCTTGTGCCTGTATTGCCTCACTTGCTCTCCTCTTGACCTTGCTTGTACTTTCGCATATATATACTCTTGCTCTTGTATATCTCTATATATGATCTTGCATGTGAACTGGCCTTGTGGCCTTTGAACTTGTGCTCGGAATGCGTGGTGACTTTGTGATCCACCCTGAGCTTTGCTTTGCTTTGCTTGACCGGTCTTGTGACCCCTTGTTCTCCCCCACTTTGCCTATGGGGGTGTGTCAGAACTTATAGCTTACTTGTTTCTGTAGGCTATAGTGGGGTATCCCATAGGGGGTACAACCCAATTAGGGTTTCCTATTTGTACTCACTTCGTTCATAGTCATTCCACTTCTCGTTCGTACTTTCTCAAGTTTCTTGACATGGATCCGCAACGTCTGTGGATGACACCAGCTTATCTTGCTAACCAAACTGCGATGTACCGCAGAGTCCCTGTTGTTCACTCGACGGCGATAAGTCTCATGGTGCTGATGAACCCGCAAGATTTGTTAGCACATCCCCGCGGAGAGTACCGTACGCGTGTGCTACAGTTCGACCCTAAATCTCCAATCCCAACCCATCGCCACAGCGACCATGCCAAGGAGGTGTTCGAGTAAGTGTCACTCCTTAATCAGATGTGCGGTTTGTGTGGACGCATGTTATTGATTATTTGCGACCCCCTTGCCCTGCAGCTGGCTTATCCGACAACTAGATGTGGAATACAGCCGAGGTCGCAGGGTCTCTGGCAGCCACGCCGAAGCGGTGCAGAAAGATTTGAGGGATCGCCTAGAGGAACTGTTTCTAGAGGAAGGCAGGGTAAGGAGCCTCTATTTTTATGATTTAAGCGTTGTATGATATTAAGCTTGTAAAAAGTTACGGGAGTGTCTGACAACCACCTTTTCACGCACATGTTGCAGATCAACAAGGTTCAGGGACAGAGGCAAGTGGGTTCCGGGCTGCACGTTACCCATCTGTTCAGCAAGTTGCTGGACAAATGGGGGGATGTCATGGCGATTCAAACTGCAGAGCCGATGATCGCCTTAGGGAAGGGGAAAAATAGCGCGAAAGAAATTCGGAGTATGCTGGAGTCGACCTGCAGGGCCTTCTTCGACCTGCAAGGAGTCCAGCTCCGTCCCGCCCCGGATGCAGTCATGACGACCCATGAGGCTCGAGTGGTGGAGAGCGCACCGGAACGGTCCGGAAATACCATGGAGCCGGCGGCACAGAACAGATCCGAAGCGGTAGAGGGACAGAGAGACGTACCTGCCGCAAACCGGGACGCAAATCCAAGAGTAGGGGAAATTTCATATTCCCGACGACCTGCACCGGGGGGTGCACTACTGAGTGGCCCGACATCAAGGTCAGCCCGTGCGGACGAGCGTGTTAGGTCTGGAGTTAGGCAGCTCAGGTTTGCTGATCGGGTTAGTAGGCCGCCGGAACCAGGGCTGACGATTCAAGGGCAAATGCCCTTAATGCCCTGAGCATTAAGGGTTGGTTTCGGCCCAGATTCCGAATTTTAAGGGTTGGATTTGAGGGCAGCCCGTCCCCGTAAAGTGCTGGTTGTGGGCCTAACCCGGATTTCAAGTGCAGATCCCGCGGCTAGCCCTTATCGTCCCATACTAATACCTCCCTCCCTTCCATCCCCTCACCAGTCCACTCGCCTCCTCCCAGCCATTCCCCTACTTTTCCCATCCCTGTCAAATCCATCGACATGTTTCGTACCTCAGCCTATTGCTTAGCTGGCTCTTAGTAGTTTGCCTAAGATAACGGACCCGAAGAGATGTGGGGTTTCCTTAGCGAAAGTGCAAAAAAGTTGGTAGCCCTGATTTCAAGTGCCATGTTTGCTCTCAGCCCGTAAATTTCAGGGCAACTTTTGGGGCACCTCAGCCTCTCAAGTTCTGGCTCCAAACCAATCGACAGCCCTGGCCGGAACGCGAAGCACGGACGGAGACCGACTTGGCAAGTGTAGCAGATGACGGCGAGGAGGGTGTAGAAGATCCACAGCTGCCAAGTCAGGTCGAACAGGCAGAGGAGCAGTGGAGGAAGGCGGCTGATGATAAGCGGGTGGCCGAAGCAGAAGCCAAGAGGAGACGGGCTGAAGAGAGGCAACGGCGCCGTGATGGCGACACCGATCCTACCGTCTCTTTCCCGGGAACTGGAGACATACGTGAAGCATGGGAGCATGGGGCACGAGCCGCTGCAAGGGCACACGTGGGAGAGGCAGGAGAGGAGCTCGCCAACAATGTGCGGCATCATATCGAGGAGGATAGGGGATACGTGAAAGTTCGCTTGCCCGGCGTAAAGCGGAAGGCGGCTGAAGAGGCCCGGAGAGGGGACGTCGACGTGCCAGAGAATTCGGGAGAGGCGAAAAAGAAGGCGCAGAGCAACGCGGGTGCAAAGGCTCATAAGATGGCGGAGGTAGAGGCGCACCAGAATGCAGAGGATGCGGCCCATCGGTTCGTCGATGCAGAGGCGGCACTTACGGCAGAGGACGGGGCGCCAAAGGAAGCAGAGGCCGCTGCGCAGCAGAAGGTGGGTGCAAAGGCGGTCAAGAGTGGGGAGGCAGTCGCGCGTAAAGAAGCGGTTGCAACAGCAGAGCTGACGTCGGAGGCAGTCGAGCTGCAGGTGGTGGAGGCAGTGGCGCAGAAGGAATCAGAGGCAACGGCGAGCCAGAAGGATGAGGCAGCGGCACAGCAGAATGATGAGGCAGACGCACATAAGGAATCAGCGGCAGCAACGCAGCAGAAGGATGAGGGTGCGGCGCCCAGGATGGTTGAGGCAGAGGCGCAGAAGAAATTGGAGGCAGCGGCGCAGCAGAAGGAGGAGGGTGCGGCGCCGAAGATGGTTGAGGCAGAGGCGCAGAAGGAATCAGAGGCAGCGGGGCAGCAGAAGGAGGAGGGTGCGGCGCCGAAGATGGTTGAGGCAGAGGCACAGAAGGAATCAGAGGCAGCGGCGCAGCAGAAGGAGGATGGTGCGGCGCCGAAGATGGTTGAGGCAGAGGCGCAGAAGGAATCTGAGGCAGCGGCGCAGCAGAAGGAGGATGGTGCGGTGCCGAAGATGGTTGAGGCAGAGGCGCAGAAGGAATCTGAGGTAGCGGCGCAGCAGAAGGAGGAGGGTGCGGCGCCGAAGATGGTTGAGGCAGAGGCGCACAAGGAATCAGAGGCAGCGGCGAGGTAGAAGGAGGAGGGTGCGGCGCCGAAGATGGTTGAGGCAGAGGCGCACAAGGAATCAGAGGCAGCAGCGAGGCAGAAGGATAAGGCAGCGGCGCTGCATATGGAGGAGGCAGACGCACATAAGGAAGGAGAGGCTCGGAATAAGGCAGAAGCAGCGGCGCGGCAGAAGGCGGAGGCAGAGGAGCAGAAACAGGCTGCGGAAGAGGCACTACAACTGGCTCGGGCAGAAGCGCGGAAGAAGGCTGTTGTAGAGGCGCGGCAGAAGGCGGAGGGTGAGGCGCAGAAGATGGCGGAGGCCGAGGAGCAGAAGCAGGCTGAGGCTGACGAACGTAGGAAGCCAGATGGAGAGGAGGGTTCAGATGGGAATAAAATGATACAGACAGAGGGACGGGAGACGGCGGGTGCTGAGGGGCACATCATCGCAGAGGAAGAGGGGCAGCATGACGAGGAGGCAGCGTCGCAGGTATTCGCATACCGAGAGACGCAGAGCATGGCAGAGACAGAGCGTCAAAATACTATGGAGGAGGTTCGTGTGGTCCCGGAGGCTGGAGTGGGGCACTACGAGGGAGATGCGCTGGAAACAGAAGAGGAGCAGAATGAGGAGGATACGGTACATTCGGCAGTCCGGATATTTTTGGGAGGAAGTCCGACGCGGGGACCAGGAACCGGGGTAGAGGGGCCATGGAGGGTGGCAGACGATGGGGCGCCTAGGGATACAGTGGATCTCAACCGGCAGAGGCGGCCTACCCTTCATCAGAGAGCAGTGGAGAGGAATCTTGGCCAAGGCGGGGTGGCAGAAGCGTTTTGGTAGGTAGAGTGGGTCGAGGCAGAGACGCCAATACGGCGGATGCTGCATCGGACGAGTACAGTCCTGGTCGAACAAGGTGACAGGTTCGTCGAGGCCGAAAGCTGGGACATAAGCTCGGCAGAGGTAAAGTGTCGTCTGACGCTCTTAGCCCGAATGGTGACGCAGACGTTCTGCAACTTGGCGGCCCGCAACAGCAGCATCAGTCGCGACGTGGCCGATCTGACCGTCCATTACTGCCGCGACGCCCTGGCCAACCTGGAAGAAGTCCGCCATGGAAATGAGGAACGGCGGCGCCAAGCTGAAACGACGGCCAGGTTTCGCGAGCAGGTGGACACGAGACTCTCCAACTTGCAGGAGAGTATCATAAGGGTGAGTGATCAGGTTCGCCAGTCGGGAGGGGGGATGGCGGAGGGCACGTTAAAGGGGGTGGAAGAGAGGTTGAGAGAGGTTCTTAGAGAAGACTCTGAGCGGCGGAACAGGGATAGACTGCAGGACGAGGAGCGGAGGCAGAAGGCCACGAGGAAGGAAGCAGACGTCGCAGAGAGACGGAAGAAGGAACGACAGCAGGAGGAAGAGTGTCGGCAGAAGGAGATGAGAGAGGGAATGAAGGAGATGAAGGAGGCGATGATGAAGGAGATGAAGGCAGAAATGAAGGAGATGAAGGATGGGATGGTAAACCAGATTGTGGGGAGGTTGAGCGCGGTTTTGCGAGAAGAATCCGAGCGGCAGAAGAAGGAGAGGGAAGAGAACGCGGAGCGGCGACAAAAGCAGGACGCGAAGAGGAAACAAGTGGCGGACGACGAGGAGAGACAGAAGAAGAAACAACTGGACGAGCAATGGCGGAAGGAGGAGGAGGAGAAGAGGAAGGATGTAGAGGCCACCGAGCGGCGGAGGAAGAAGAAACATCAGGAGGAAGAGCGACGGCAGACGGAGGTGGAGGCGGGAATGAAGGAAGTGATGGAGGCTGTGAAGGAGATGAAGACAGGGATGAAGGGGTGGAAGGAGGGGATGCTAAGTGAGGTGGAAAAGCGGCTGTCAGTAGTTCTGAGATTGGACGCAGAGCGGCGGCAAAAGGAGGAGCAGGGTAGGAAGGCAACGGAGGGAGATCGGCGATAGAAGGAGGATGCGCAGAGGAAGGAGGCTGAGGAGGACGATCGGGAGGAAAGGGAGAAACAACAGGAGAAGGAGCACCAGCAAAATGAGGAGGCGCAGAGGAAGGAGGCAGAGGAAGCAGAGCGGGTGGAGAGGGAGAAACATCGGGAGATGGCGCGCCTGCAGAAGGAAGAGGCGCAGCGGAAAGATGCAGAGGAGGCCAAGAGGCAAGAGAGGGAAAAACAACAGGAGATGGCGCGCCTGCAGAAGGAGGAGAGGCAGAGGAAGGAGGCAGAGGAGGTAGAGCGGTGTCAGAGGGCGAAACAGCAGGAACTGGACCGCCTGCAGAAGGAGGAGGCGCAGAAGAAGGAGGCAGAGGAGGCCGAGCGGCAGCAGCGGGCGAAACAGCAGAAAATGGAGCGCCTGCAGAAGGAGGAGGCGCAGAAGGAGGCAGAGGAGGCCGAGCGGCAGCAGCGGGCGAAACAGCAGGAGATGGAGCGCCTGCAGAAGGAGGAGGCGCAGAAGGAGGCAGAGGAGGCTGAGCGGCAGCAGCGGGCGAAACAGCAGGAGATGGAGCGCCTGCAGAAGGAGGAGGCACAGAAGAAGGAGGCAGAGGAGGCCGAGCGGCGGCAGAGGGCGAAACAGCAGGAGATGGAGCGCCTGCAGAAGGTGGAGCAGTGCCGAGCAGAGAAGAGGGCCAGACTTGCATCCTACGCGGAACAGCTGCGGCAACTGGAGGCAAAGGCAAAGGCGATGGCTGAAGAGATGGAACGATTGGCAAGGGAGATGGAAGAGGAGGATTTGACCATGCAGGGGGAGGGGACCAGGAAGGGAGTCGAGGAGGAAATAGCTGAGGGCCTGGGGAGTTTGCTGTTGATTGAGAGCGGGGAGGCAAATGTAGCAGAGGGCGTGGCTATTGTTCCCGGACAGAACGTAGAGGTGTCCAGGAGGCGGCCTATTAATCTACGTTTAATACTCGGCTTCTACGAGGAGGTAGAAGTATGGGGCTAAACAATCGCATAACATCTTGTCTTAGGGAGCACCTTGTTAAGAATCGTATACGGTATTCCTATGCATACCAAAACGTATACAGAATTTTGCCGGGTGTATAACATCGATGTGTGCTTCAATGCATAGACCAGAAAAACCTTCTACGAAAAACAGCGCGGCCAGGGAAGAAGGTGGCATACAAGCCCCAAATCGGGCTTCTACAGAGACATACAAGTGCCTGTAGTGCATATTCAGTACAACCAGAATAAAGTACCCAAATAACTAAACCGCCCCACCCTTAAGGTACATGCCCCCTCATTTCTGCTCCTAGCGTTTCGACGCTTCGCCCTTCGCCTTTTCCCGTTCCGCCTTCTTCGCCGCAGCGGTTCGTTGTTTCTCCTCTTCTGCCTTCTCCTGCGCCATGTGTTCCTTGTGGATCTCCTCCCACTCATCATCCTCAAACAGCGAAGTTGCCCACTCCTGGTCGCGAAGGCCCTTCTTGACTAACAGCCAGCCCACTCTGCGTTGCGCCAAGTCGTTGACGGTCCTCTTTTCCGTTGACGAACCGGTCTTCTGTTTCGTGATGGGCGGAGTCTCATGCAGCACCGCCAGGCCGTTGGTGAATTCCGTGAAGTTGCACACGAGTAAAACCACGTCCAGCAGCTTAATGGCCGTTGCGGTCGCCGCCTCGGTGCTGTCTTTTCTTAGCGTCTCCACGGAAACCATGACACGATGCACGCGACGCATCTTTCACTCGCATGCACCCACAGCCATCCCGGGCGTACCTTTGTCAGCGAACCGGGAATATGCGGTGATGAAGCTGGAATTCTTGTCCTTCTTCTTATACCGGTCGAACTCTGCAAAGACTTCGCGCAGTGACCTGCCGCCCATGATGAGGCTTGGCTGCACCCACACTTTCCAGGCAGCGAATACTTCTACCGATAAAAAAAGCCTAGCGTCGAAGATGTCCGGCTACAAGAGCGGGCGACATACGACAATTGTTCCGGGCAAATACAAACAGTTCTACCGACAAAATATTCTACCACACAGATCTGCGCCTACATAATCGACCTAACAAGTGCGACTGCAGTTATCCTAACCGGGCTGACCCAACATAAAAAAACCAACTCTATACGACCTACGTTACTACGTCGAGGACGCCAATGTTCTGCCAGTGGGCCAAGCAGGCTTAAAAGACTACGCTGGTGGACTAACAGGTGCTGGATGAAAAAATCTCAAAGAGCTTGCGGAGCATGAAATGCAAATGAAAAAGAGCAAATGAGCACAAAAACATCCATTCATACCCATCCACCACACACACAGAAGCCCGTGTCCAGATCTGTGAGAAAATGAGAACGAAAATGAATGAACTATGAATGAACTGAGTACAAGTACTAACCCTAATTGGGTTGTACCCCTTATGGGCTACCCCACTATAGCCTACACAATAAGCACAAGCTATATGTTCTGACACACCCCCATAGGCGAAGTGGGGGAGAACAAGGGGTCACAAGACCAGTCAAGCAAAGCAAGCTCAGGGTGGATCACAAAGTCACCACACATTCTGAGCACAAGTTCAAGGCCGCAAGGCCAGTTCACATGCAGGAGTACATATATATAAAGGACAAGACAAGCAAGAGCAGGTGTATATATATGCAACAGTACAAGCAAGGTCAAGAGGTGAGCAAGTGAGGCAAGACAGGCACAAGACCCAGCTGCGTGCAGAAGCGCTGATGATCACAAGGCGCAAGTGCCTTGGTGAAGACATCAGCAGTGTTGGCCTCAGAGGCCACGTACGCAAGCTGCAACTGACCACGCTGCTGTAGCTCACGAGCAAGGAAGTAGCGAAGAGCAATGTGCTTTGTTCTGTGCTCCAGTCTCTGCTCTCGACACAAGGCCAGCATGGCCTTGTTGTCTACGTACAGGACTGGAGGAGAACGAGGCGACTCTCCAAGGTCGGTCAGCAGGTAGGTGAGCCAGCGAAGCTTCTGTGCAGCCATGGCCCCTGCGTAGATCTCAGCCCCACAACTGGAGCCGAGAACAGAAGACGAGCGAGTAGCCCGCCACGAAACAGAGCCGGAACCAAGGCTGAAGGTGTAACCCTGTGACAACCGCTGCGTAGCCTGGTCGTCAGCCCAAGAAGCGTCCGCGTGCCCAGTGAGGACTACTGGACTCCGCCCTCCAAGCACTAGCCCCATGCCCGACGTACTGCACAAGTAGCGCAACACCCTCTTCGCTGCAGCCATGTGCTCTGGTCGGTGTCTCCCAACAACAACATAGCGTGCGAGAATGCTAAGAGGGTATGCAAGGTCAGGTCAAGTGCAGGTCATCAGGTACATGAGGCAGCCAACAAGCTCTGGGTACGGGCCACTCGACTCTACAGACTCATCCGAAGGCAGAGCTGAGAGCGAGTGGCGAGTAGGCAGTGGAGTGGCCTGAGGCGAGGAGTACGTGAAGCCGAAGCCCTGAAGGACCTGCTGCACCATGTGTGACTGAGTCAGGGTGATGGTGCGGTGTGCTCTGTCCCGGGTGATCTGCAAGCCAAGGTAGCTGCGCAGTTCACCCAGGTCTGTGCACGTGTGTCTCTTCTGCAGCTCGGACTTCACGTGGGCGAGTCCAGCAGTGTCAGCTGTGGCAAAGACCAAGTCGTCGACGTACACGAGGATGTAGAACGGCGGCAGAGAAGTGTCGGTGCGCAGAAACAGCGACGGGTCGGCAGTAGAAGGAGAAAACCCAAGAGCCGCAAGCGTAGTCCTCAGTGTGTCGTGCCACTCATGTGGCGCCTGGCGGAGACCGTAGACTAGACGCCGAAGACTCCACTGGGTACCAGGAGGGAAAGACCCAGTGAAGCCAGGTGGGCGGCGCAGCCAGATCTCCTCGTGCAGGCTGCCCTGCAAGAAAGCAGTGCTGAAGTCGAGAGAGTGCAGGTCGTAGTCACGGTGAGCAGCTACGTGCAGCAGTACCCGAAGAGTGGTCATCTTTGGGGTGGGAGAGAAGGTCTGAAAGGAGTCAACTCCCTGCTGCTGACTGAAGCCACGAGCCACGTAACGCGCCTTGAAGACAGGCGGAGAACCCGGCGGCCGCTTCACCCTGAAGATCCACATGCCACTGACGATGTTCGCCCCAGGAGGGGGGACATCGTCAACGTAGGTGCCTGTGGACTTCCAGGAAGCCGTCTCTGCATCCATAGCTGCCGGCCACTGAGAAGAGTAGGGACCCTCTATCGCCTCCGCGTAAGAGCGCGGAGTCGGGATGTCAAGTGCATCCGGGTCTCCCTCAGGGGTAAGCAGTACGGACACGAGATGAGGTGAAGCAGCGGCCAAGCACTGGAACTCCTCCTGCCTGTCCTCAAGGACGTCCGTGCCAAGGGCACACTCACCCCCGACGGACGGAGGACAGACAGACTTTGACTCAGCGACAAGACTAGCAGCGTAGTCTAGGCGACAGTGAGCAGCAAAGTCGACGAGCTCAGCAATTAGGGCAGACGCAGCAGTGGACTCGAAAGAAGGGTCAATGACGACAGTAGCCAGGAGACGCGTGACAGTAGGACTTGCAGCACGAAGAGAGTCCGACTCCGGGTCGGGAAGAGCAGGAAGAGAGGACTCAGGAGGAGAGGAGCAGTGGACGGACGCAGAGACATCCTGTGCGTGCCAGGGACAGGAGGAGGACGCTGACGCGAACCACGACCACTAGCGCGAGCAGCACGGACAGGCGACGCAGGGCGAGACGCAGGCTCACGACGCTCAGTAAGACCTCCAGTAGGACCAGTGTAGGGAGAAGGAGCAGGCAAAGGGGAGGTAGGATGCAACTGTAACTGTGACGGGATTGGCTGTGGACACCTTAAAGAAGGAGGAGGACCAGTAGAAGGCGGAAGACCAAGAACCTGCTGCAGGAGTGGAAGAAAGTACGGTCGAGGCCGCGCGGCGACGCCACACACAGCAGGTACAGCACGAGAACCCCCAGTAGGAGCACCCGCTCCAGCTGCACCTCCAGCTGTGCCAGAACCTCCAGTAGTACCAGGAGTACCCACAGTAGGACCGCCAGCAGTAGTCTCAGCTCCAACACCCTCAGCAGCACCAGCTCCAGTCAAACCCGCAGGCTCAGCAGCTCCAGTACTCCCAGTACGAGCACCTCCGGGACCCGCGACAGCAGCACCCTCAGTAGCCGAAGAACCTCCAGCACCAGCAGCACGCCTCCAGCGCCGGACAAACCCACTCTATACGACCTACGTTACTACGTCAAGGACGCCAATGTTCTGCCAGTGGGCCAAGCAGGCTTAAAAGACTACGCTGGTGGACTAACAGGTGCTGGATGAAAAGATCTCAAAGAGCTTGCGGAGCATGAAATGCAAATGAAAAAGAGCAAATGAGCACGAAAACATCCATTCATACCCATCCACCACACACAGAGAAGCCCGTGTCCAGATCTGTGAGAAAATGAGAACGAGAATGAATGAACTATGAATGAACTGAGTACAAGTACTAACCCTAATTGGGTTGTACCCCTTATGGGCTACCCCACTATAACCTACACAATAAGCACAAGCTATATGTTCTGACAATCTGGTCATCCAACCTTGGGCTGGATGATTCTCCCGCCAAAAAAAAAAGTTCCCTACACGACGCTTATTGGCTCTTGCAGCCTTGGGACTCTGACAACAACTGTTGCCATGGCCACGTTTGCAGAACACCTACACTTGGTAAACAATGACTATAAAACACAATGAGCAAACGTAGGATGCTACACTTGTACTCATGTTATTCATAAAACACATAAGATCAATGGTATAAAGGAACACACCTGCTGCAGCTTTAAGGCTGGAGCAAAAAAAAAAAACCGAGTTAAAGCATATAACGGCGCAGAGAAGACCAGTTGGTCGCAACCGGCCATGCGACCGGCGGTCGTCACTTGTCGGCCAAAGAGTTACGATGGCGAAAAATGTCATACCCATGAAATCACTGGCACAAAGGGTCACGGGCAGGTTGGTTGGAACACATTTTTCACGGTCAGGTGGGCGTGGA